TCTGCGCTCAGTGTGGGAGACACGATAGGGGCGTCGGCGAATAAGACTTGCGTCACCAGTGTTTATACGGTGTTGAACACTAAATGTTTGCCCTAGAGGTCTGTCGTCGAAATAAAAAATGTCGATATATGACGCGAGAAGGTGATGGATGTCATTGGCTTGCGCAGGATTGAGGTCGGATGCAATCATCTTCGAGATACGATCTGGCCGAGAACAGGTGCTGTTAGCTACAGGATACTGAAGTAAATCAATCTCGGTGGTGAGAGCCGCTATTTTGAATTCGTCAGCATTAGATACGCTGGTCAAGAACATGCCACGAGGAAGCACTTGAGGGCACAAGCTAAAATTGAGAAGTGGGAGCGAGGTACAGTTGTCAGTGACAGTCACAAGCTTATGGGGAATGGCGATGTTTCGGCTCAAAAGGATGTCGGTGGGAGGAAAGAGGACATATTGACCATCGGGAACCTGTGGCTGTGCGGTGAAAACGACGTAGGTGGCGGCCTGAGGCGACAGCCGTACATCCTGAAGAGGGCACAGGCGCGGCGGGGCAGTGTGATTTTCAGCGACTATCTGAGGCAGCTCTAGCTGAAGGACGCCGGTAGCACAATCGATAAGAGCAGAATAATTCGAGAAGTCCAGGCCTAGGATAACGTCATAAGAAAGTGGTCAATCACGGCTAGAATGGCAGAAGTAGTGTGGTCCTTTATACTTAAGCGGGCAGTGCACAGACCGACAACCATCGGCATGCCGCCATCGGCCACACGGAGCATTTGGGCAGCCGCTGGTGTCAGAACTTTCTTTAAACGTGTGAGTAGGCTTCAGCTCATGACCAAAATGCTTGCGCCAGTGTCTACAAGTGCTTGTACAGGTACGCCGTCTACTTCAACGTCTATTACACTTCGTCTGGTGGGAATGAAGAGAGGATTTGCTGTGGAAGTCGTCAATGCAGTACCATCTCCGGGGGCTGCATTTCTCAGTTTTCGGAGATGATGCGGCCGGAAGCCACGGGGGAAGAGAAGTGCCGTGGCCGTGGCGAACAAGACAATGAACGGCGTATCTGCGGCGAATGAGACTGGTGCCCACGTGGTGAAGGCGAGCCGCTGTACCCAGTGTGTTCCGAGATAGGTCAATGGCATTGGACTCTTCGGCCAGTGAAAAGGTGTGGGTGGTACCATCGATGTGCGCAACACATGGTGTGGGCGGTGCCGTCGATGTGCCGCAACACACAACGACCCATGTGCCGCAACACATGGGTCGTTGCACGAGTGGCCGAGGACCATGTGTTGCGGCAGTAACGAGCAATGTGTCCAACGTGGTGGCAGTTGAAACATATAGGGCGTTCATCTGCAGTTCACCCCTCAATCGGGTTGCGGGTACGTGGAGAAAACCGTCGGTTGGAGGAAGGCATCGCGAAAGGGCGTTCGCTGACTATGGGCGTGGTGACATGGTACACGGAATGCACTCCGATGTTTTTAAGCTCCTGGCGCACGATGGCTTGAACAAGAGGAACAGTAACAGGAGTGGTATCGGTTCTGCGCGAATAGAACACCGAGGGCGCCATTGCTTACAATTCGCGACGAACAATGCGTGTCAGGTCTCCAGGCGGCGACGGGCGTTGTGGCGCGGACTGGTCCTCGCAGGTCAATGTTGCAGCGGTGTTTGGAAGTCGGGTGAATGTTTGCAGAATGCGGCGACTTTTTACTTGCTCAAACTGACGACGCTCTTTGATGATCGCGTCCACGGTGGAACAGCCCTTGCATATCAGGAGATTGAACGCATCGTCGGAAATCCCTTTCAGGACATGCGCGACCTTGTCACCTTCTGTAAAGCCACTTTCGGCCTTTCGGCCGAGGGCCAGCACGTCCTGAATGTATGCGAGGTGTGATTCTGTTGGGGATTCGGCACGGCTGGCAAATTCCTTTTTGGTGGCGATCTTACGACTGGCGGTTTCACCAAACACCTCTCGCATCTTTTCTTTGCATTGGTCCCAGCTTGGGAGTTCGAAGAGCACACTAGCCAACCGAAGTGTGGGATCCCATCTGTTTGGCACACTCACTTGTTCTAACATGGCCAACCAATCATTAACGTCGATGCCATCAGTCCCGCAGAATGTAGCGGGATCCTTAAGTGGCGGGAAAACGTTTGGTTGCGACGCCGTGTTCGTCGGAGACGCTGACGTTGATGCGGAGGGCTCAGCATTGGCCATGGCTGGAAAACCGATGCGACGTCCGCTGCGGAGCTTCGTTGCCTGATGGTTACCCAGCACCTCTCACCAATATGTTACGGGGTTGATTACTTCTGTACAAAATGCTTTTATAGAGGAAAAGCCACAGGCAAGAGTCACAATGGCTGATTGGCACCCTCACGCACCCCTCAGCTGATTGTGTCCTCCCTATTTGTTTACTTCATTTCCGTAACAATATTATTATGAGAGACGATGTAGTGGAGGGCTCCGGTGATTTCGACTACTTGGGGTTCTTTAACGTGCACCCAAATCTGTGCACACGGGCACCCTCAGGTAAACGAAGAACGTCCAAGTGATATGATAATTTTGAAGGAGGAATTGGAGCACTCCTGATTAATTTAGATGTGAGAAAAAGTTCTGGTCTCGATGAAATACTGAATGCCTGTCTAAAACGCTACAGTGAATGGGTCTCTAATATTTTAGCAGAAATATTTACAGCATTTCTTAAAACGGGCCACCTTACCGGATGATTGGTTGATAGGTCACGTCGTTCCAATCTTAGAAGCCGGAAAAAAATAAAAGTAAATAATTACGGTCCTATAACATGCACTGCATGAAAGCTACTTGAACATGTCATCAGCAAATATTTGCTCCAGTACGCAAAAGAAAATCTTTTTAATTCCAAGCAACATGGTTTTTGCAAACGCTTATCAACATTTACACAACCCTTTCAGACAACACATTATTTCTCAAATGCTATAAACGAGAAGGAACAAGTGGACGTTATTGCCTTAGAATTCTCTAAGGTGTTTGATAAGGTGTACCAAGTGAAACTGATACGAAAACTGAAAACGTATGAGATATGCCCCATGGTCATAAAATGGATAGAGGCGTATTTGTGTAATATGCGTCAATTTGTGAAAATAGCTGATGAATACTCAGCTTGATTGCCTGTCAACTCTGAGGTGCCCCAAGGTTCTGTGATAGGACCCCTGTTATTTTTGCTTTATGCCAATGATATTGCTGCTAATGTGGATCCACAGATTGAAGTTCGCCTCCTTGCAAACGACTGTTTGTTATTTTGCCGTCTTAAGAGTGCCCATGAACAATCCTTGTTAAATGAATCATTAAACAAAATTTATGATTGGTGTGTACAACATGACATGCAAACTTCGAAAAATCAGTCTGAATGATGTCACAACAAAGCAATCCCCGTCACAATTTACTCATAAAATTGGGAGTACGGAAATTTGGTGTGCAATGAAGATGAATACTTAGGTGTTACTATCACGCATGGCTTATCATGTTGCTAACATTTGTGGATCAGCTCAGCGAAAGCTGGGAATGCTACGACGCAAACTAAAGCAGGCATCTCCTGATGTAACGCTTAAGGCTTACACTACGGTTGCTTGACCCACCCCGGAGTACGTGGTTATAGTGTGGTACCCGTAGCGACCAACTCTAATAAATCAGATCGAGCGAGTGCAGAGTCTTGAAGCACGCTTTATTTTTCCAAGTACAAAATGATGGAATCCATCACTGCACTGATTAATAAGGTAAACCTTGCAAGTTTAGCATCACGCAGAAAATTAACAAGACTAAAATTTGTACCATGGAATGCTTAGCATCAATCCCAGACCTACTTGTCGTTTCCAGGCAGAGTATCACCTCGATCCTTCCACCTTTATGTTGTACGACCCTACGTATCCCGAGTTTATGTCTGCAAGCATTCTTTTTTGGTGAAGACAACTGAAGACGAGGGAGGGGGCTGATTTTTTATAAGAAAGGTGGAAAGGTAAGAAAATGCCGGGTGGAGTGCACGATAACTGTCTCTTATGGAATAAACTAAGCTCGGAAATATTTCATCGTGTGATTTCGCTCGGAAGTTTGGACAAAAATCTGCAGTTACTGTGTGTATATTATCTAAATACCTACAATGTATAACTACAGTGCTGTTGTATAATTTTTTTCGCACCGTGTAAGCCTGTGTTTTTTGTTTTGTTTTAGTTGACATTGCGCTGTTTGTGCTATGCTGTTTGTATATTTTAACGTGTTTTTGCATTTAATTTTTCAGTATTGTAAACTGCCCCACCTTTTAACAGACCGATAGGGATTACAGTATTGAAAATAAAGAAATAAAACAGAGCCACGCCATGTTTCGAAGGTGCATTGGGGAAGACCCTACTTAGTTGTAGTGTTGGTGAAACGTCAATTCTGGTTGCAGTGCTGGCTGTATAATTTTATAAACATTACACATGAAGTTTTGCGATACAGGCGTCACGTACGGCTAATTTTTATTGTAGTTAATTGTTAGGCGTCAATTGTAGTTGATTTACATAGCACGAGCGCCATCTACCTATCAGCTTACCACTTCTGGTGCTGTTGGTGTCCACATTGTAGTTGTCATGGTTACGCGACTGTGACCAACTTAATATATAAAACATATGCGACGGTTCGGTAAGAATGTGCGTGCAGAATTTGTACACATCTTTAGCGTCAGTACGTAACACTTCACTTGCTTAAAAAAATTCACCACATTCCCCTTCCGTCCGCATGCTTCACATACCAATGACTCCCATGGTACGTGGAACCTGCCGATTTTCTTCTTTCAAAAGCCGTTAAAGCTGGTATAATCTACTAGACGCGATGTGTGGCTGGAAATTGCGTATCGAAAAGGAGAACTTCACAGCGTACTGGTGTATACAAACATAGCGCTCTCGTGTATATTAAACAAACTGCTCATGCGTGCCGAGTGGTGCGCCTTCAAATGGAGCGCACCACGCTACCGGCAAAGTACCCATGTCAGCGGACTACGTCAACTTCTTGAAATTCCTTTATTGTTCCCCTATGATGATGGAGAAATACTTGCAGTAGTAGAGAAGAACAACCAAGGGCATCACAAATATGAAGAGCACCACTATAAGTCCATTGCCGATTTTCGGGAATCGTTCGTGGATGACATTGTCGTATAGATAAAAAAGCGGCAACTGAAAAATAAAAAGAAATCACTATAGAACTCCGCAATCACTTTCAATGAATACAAGAAAGCGTGGCGACACGTTCTCGGCAACATGTCTGGCGATAAATTTCTGTTCACTTTCTATGCTTGAATTCATTCTAGACGCAACATTCCGAAAAGGCAATCAGGGCTCACTGATGCATCGTGACAAACGAGTGAAATTCTCATTTTCGCGCAAATATCTTTAGGCGTTTTTCCGTGGCGATTGTTTCGCGCTTGCTAAGGTCATACCAAGGTTAGTCTTATAAGCAGGATAGCGCCGGGCACGTGAACAAGGAGTATTCACTGTACTTTTATTATTTTTACATTACTCATGTCGGGATGCAAATCAATGTTTCTAATTATCACCCTGATTTTCTACTGTGTGCCACATCGAAGATTTTTTAACTGACTATTCACAGCATATAATGTATGTCAGAGGGGAAAATTCATTCATTCCTAATTAATACGGGTTTCTACCTGCCCGCTCAACTAGCACATATCTTGCTAGTTTCATGACGCTAATCACCCCAAAGAGGACAGGCTGACGTAGTCTACTGTGACCTGAGCAAGGTTTTTGACACAGTCAGCCACTCACTGTTTTTGGTTCAATCTGCAAACTTTGATGTTTACTCTTCTGATGTAAATCTCCTGCACCGCTATTTTATTAATAGATCATGTTATGTTGCCGTAACTTGCCGAATGTGGTCCTTGTACAAAGTTTAAGGGCCGGTAGTAGGCCCATTCTTACATTTGATTTACGTTAACGGCGTTTCACTTGCAATTCGTTATTCTTCTTTTTTCTCGAATGCCGACGACATCAAGATATTTCAGGAACTTCATTAAGTTGATTACTGTCATTGTTGCAGTCAGATTTGTGTTCTTTCTCTGAATGATGGGGCAGCAATAACCTCAGGCTGAATACCTCAAAGACCAAGTTCATGAGTATATCTCGCAAAGCACACATCGTATCACTTCCATACTCTGTCAATACCATGTCGGTATGTAAGGTTTATGAGTTCAGTAATCTCTTGGTGTTCTTTTTGATAGCATGCTCAATTTTGCTGCTCACACTAAACGCGCTGCAACACGAGGCCTTCGTTCTCTCGGCTGGGTTTGAAGAATTACAGTTCCCTTACAACCTTCCGGATATTGTACACTGTATTACGTCTTTCTCAACTTGAGCAACCATCTATGATCAAAAATATGGCATCGCTAAATCTGGCAGTGACGCCATTGAGCAAAACCAAAAAAAACATTCTAGGCATTTACAACCATTGTTTTGCTAGAAATGACTCTGGATCGTGTTTTAACACTGCCAGATTATTTTCATTGCCATTACTTGACTGCTGACGCAATCGCGCTGACCTCTTATTTTTTACAGTCTATAGTTCACGGAATGATATCCTGCCCTTTGCCTCTCAAGTTGTGCAAATTTTCGGATTCCGCACAAGTTAAGCAGAGAGAATCAATCGTTTCATGTACCAAGCAACTTCTTTCAACTCTCTAATGCTCACAGAATACAAAGTCTATTATGTTAACTTACATGATCTTTGTGTTTTTACAGTTCACCGTCATTGTTTCTCTCAGCGTTTCACAGTATTAAGATTGTTTTTCACAATGTACAGATTCTTCCTCTTACCATCTTTTGATAAGGTTTCTACATAGTCGTGTATATTCGTCTTTATTTTTCACTACCATTCCATGATTCTCGTCTTGCCTGTTATTCTTTCCACTTTGCGCTGATTTCTTTTGCTCAGTGCCCTTTCGCTCTTTTCATTTCATTTTTTGTAAATTGTATTGTATTGTTTATTTTATTGTTTTATTTTGCATGTGCCTGCACAAACACCATATGGTTGTTCCTGGGCAGCCTAAATAAATTGTTTATTATTATTATTATTATTATTATTATTATTATTATTATTATTATTATTATTATTATTATTATTATTATTATTATTATTATTATTTATCTGCAGGTGACAACTGGTAGCAACTTGGTCTCACTTTGGTAAAACAAATGATTCTTTACTGAACAAACCTGTATAGCCATGCCTGCAAATGCCACGCCATAAACCTTTTTCAGGGGAAGACTCATGATGTACTGCAAAGAGACGAGGCATGTGACATCAATACAAATTCCTTCCATTTTCATATACTCAGTGGATGGTTGCACTCTCCCCTCCACCCAAGTTTTTCAAATTTGCATGTGGTACAGGTACACATACAAACACGCGCATGAACATACATTAAGATTTGTCAACACCCATTACCCCCGCCCCTTCCTACCACAAAAAAACAAAAACTAAATTCGACACCTCTGGTTCTTTGTCACAGATACGACTTCAGTCCTTAGTGTACATAACCGGACTTGACCTATCTTTGCCAATTAGGTTTTATGAAAAGAGTGGCTAACATATATGTATTTTACTGCTACTGTCACCTTTTTTCTTTAATTGTGGAAGTCGTGGCAAGAAAATGACAAAAGATTAGCCAGGTGTATAGCAAATGAGGCAACGTTGATGCCAACCGGTGCTACAATATTTCATTGACCACTGCGTGTAAAGAAAGCTTTTTATTAAATCTAGCTTGGGGAAGGGGAGGCGGACTCTAATACGATAGAAAACCGGGTGAGTTATGGCGGGTTCAGGGCTGCGACCACGTGACTTGACACGGATCATAAAGATAGGATGAGAGAACAAGTGGGCCATGTGTTGCTCCAACATTTTTTACTTAGCCCTTCTCAAGTCGCGCTCTTGCAGCCCTGCTCTGAAAGCGACTGATCGTGGTATGAATTACCTAGGAACACAATTTTAGCATCTCTTTCCGTCACTAGGAATAAAATTTCAAATAACTACTGTCTGACCTCGTGAAAAACGGCGGACACACCGAACACCGCCAATTCGGCCTGGAACTTGGTAAACCCTGCGCTCACGAGTGGATTGTAGATGTGGCGCCAGCACCACCGGTGCACGGGCAAGTTCCACCGATTCCAGAAGCTCCTTACGGAATCGGCGTTCCTGCACATCAAAGAGCGATCAAGAGTCAACAGTGAGAAACAAAGTAAATACTCTGTCAGAGGGGCTTCATTCTTGCGCAGACTTGGAAGCTGACATGTATACGTTTACTTCATTTTGACAACGTTTGATGTGGAAACGAGTTGTAGAAATGAAATACTAAGCTCTCCAGGGCTACTTAAAGAGCGCCGAATCAGCAGGCATGCATTAACGATTTTTTTTCACAAAACACAGCATTCCCGTCGAGTACCAAAACGAAAGGAGCATTATACAGAACGACAACGCAGTGCTGCAATGTTCTTTGGTGTTCTTGCAAGCACGCAGGCTGTGCGCGAGCTACGTAATGTCTCCTGAATGAAGCACAAGGAGCAGCACATGGTACAGAACATATGCTCTAAACCCTGTTCTTAAAAATCCTAGCGACGATTGCTCTGACTTGGTGCTCTGGTCACCGCTAGTATGCGATGAATAAATAAAACACATCATACTGGTGTTTATTCAAAGAGAGAAGTCACAACGAGGTCGGGACGGCAAATGGCCGTACGGCCAGTCTGGCAAATGTGGCACAGGTTCTCACGCAATCAGTACACGGGGTTTTTCGTTCTCTTCCGGAGGCGCATACGCGTTGGTGCGTATGCTCCACTACAATACCCCCGGGGTGAAGAGTTGCCATCCTGGCGACTCAGGGAGTAGGCACATTGAGGGGGGGGGGGGGTCATAGTAGGGTTTGAGACGGTCGACGTGTATGGTCTTGCGTCCTCGATGGCGCAAATCTGGCGATTGTGTTAGGGGCTCGATGATGTAATTCATCGGCGAGGTCGCGTGAATGACACGGTACGGACCATAATACTGGGCCAGAAGTTTAGAAGAAAAGCCAGGAACGTGCTGGGGCACCCAAAGCCACACAAGGGAGTCAGCACAAAACGTAGGAGCTATGTGATGAACGTCGTCATGTCGGGTCTTTTGTACACCTTGAGCCTCCCTTGTCAGAGACCGAGCCGACTGACGGCAGTCTTCAGCGTATCTGGCGACTTCCGAAAGCGGGGAGCACTCAGATGCATCAGGGCGGTACGGGAGTATAGTGTCGAGTGGGTGGGAAGGTTCGCGGTCGTACAACAGAAAGAACGGGGAAAAACCGGTAGTCGATTGCGTCGCGGTATTATAAGCAAAGGTAACAAAAGGTAATACAGCGTCCCAGTTGGTGTGGTCGGAGGAGATGTACATCCTCAGCATGTCGCCAAGTGTGCGGTTGAACCGCTCATTGAGACCATTTGTCTGTGGAAGGTATGCGGTAGCTTTCCGGTGTATGATGTTGCATTGAACGAGAATAGCTTGTATGACCTCCGACAGGAACACTCGACCCCTATCACTGAGTAATTCGTGTGGAGCCCCATGGCGGAGAATGAAGCTGCGTATAATGAAGAGTGCAACTTCGTGGGCGGTCGCTGCCGGTAGAGCTGCAGTCTCAGCGTAGCGTGTCAGATGATCGACGCCGACAATAATCCAGTGGTTTCTGAGCCACTATGGGGCCATAGAGGTCGATACCCACGTGGTCGAATGAGCAATCCGGGCACGGGAGCGGCTGTAACATGCCAGTAATTTGCCGTGGAGGTGTCTACTTCTGTTGGCAAGTGGTGCAAGACTTAACGTATTTATGCACAAAGCGGTACATTCCTCGCCAGTAATATCGTTGGCGCAGCCTTTCGTAGGTTTTCAGGACACTTGCGTGAGCACTTTGCATATCTGCATGAAAATTCATGGGGATGTCAGAGCGCATATGAGTTGGGACAGCAAGAAGCCACTTCCGACCACCAGGCATGTAGTTGCGGTGGTACAGAATGTTGTCTCGCGTGGAAAAGTGGGCTGCTTACCGGCGTTGCGCTCTCGTGGAAAGGACAGCAGACGGGTCGGTAAGGTAGTCGAGTAACAAGGCAAAGTATGGGTCTTTATGCTGCTCCGAAAGCATGTCAGTAGTGTCGAGTGATGACAAGGTGGTAAAAAGGGGTGACAAAGAACCCACATTTGGTGTTAATGGCGATCTCGAAAGTGCATCGGCAACCGCATGCTTGCGACTGGAACGATATGCGACACGGATGTCGTATTCCTGCAATCGAAGTGCCCAACGCCCCAGGCGACCGGACGGGTATTTCAAGGTGGGCAGCCAACATAGAGCGTGGTGGTCTATGACCACGTCGAAATGACGGCCGTAAAGGTACGGGCGAAGCTTCGTCAATGTCCCATATTATGGCCAAACACTCCTTCTCTGTCACGGAGTAATTCGATTCGGCCTTCTTGACAGCGCAACTTGCATAGGTGATATACGTATTCGGCTTGGGTGCCTTTCCGTTGTGCCAAAACTTCACCAAGACCGATGCATCTTGCATCGGTGTGAATGTCTGTAGCAGCAGAGGGGTCGTAGTGACGAAGAAAAGGTGGTGAGGTCAGCAGGTGGTGCAGATGGCGAAATGCGTCGTCACACGCAGGTTACCATGCAGGTATACCTTTGCTGTTGGAAAGAAGACTCGTCAGAGGTGCGATGATGGTTGCAAAGTTGCGCACGAAGCGACGAAAATAGGAGCAGAGACCAACGAAACTTGTTAGGGCTTTCAGTGATGTGGGCATCGGGAAGTCAGCGACAGCTCGAAGCTTATCAGGATCCGGAAGAACACAGTCTTTTGTGACGACATGTACCAAGATGGTTAGTTTTTGTGCAGTGATGTGGCACTTCTTGGTGTTAAGCTGTAGGCCTGCAGAAGTTAGACACGTCAGAATCTCGGGGAGGCGACCAAAATGTGTCGGGAAATCAGCTGAAAAGACAACGATGTCATCCAGGTAACACAAGCAAGTTTTCAACTTGTGGGCACGCAAGATGGTATCGATCATGCACTTAAATTTCGCAGGAGCGTTGCAGAGTCCAAATGGCGTGACTTCGAACTCATATAAGCCATCCGGCGTTAGAAAGACTGCTTTAGGGCGATCACATGGAGCCATTGGCAACTGCCAGTACCCAGAACGCAGATCCAAGGATGTAAAGTACTCGGTGCCTTGTAAACAGTCAAGAGCATCGCCTATTCGTGGTAGCGGGTAGACATCTTTCTCCGTAATCTCGTTTAAGCGGCGATAGTCCAAAATCGCCGCGAAATCGAACGGTTCCATCTTTTTAGGGGCGAAGCTCCTCAAAGCGGCACCCGTTCGTCCCTCGTAGTTGTAGTGTGTAACAAGTGTTACATTTTGACCTACAAGGTGGTGCCGGTGGGAGATTTCTCCTGTGCTTTGTTGAACAATAAAAAGTTCGCGGCGTGCGCGTTCACTAAAAGCGAATGCTCCTGTCTCTCATTCCCCATTAGCAGCCATTGGCATGTACATTGAGCACTATCTCACAAGAAAGGGATGAAAAGATGCGAGATTGTGGTACTTGGAGTGCTGAATAGATGGACGAACAGACTCACAGACAGATGCATGGATGGACACATGAACGGACGCAGGGGCGGAGGCATGGACGAACGCAGGGACGGACGCACGAACAGACGCACGCACGGACTGGCGGATGGACGCACGAACGGTCACACAGATGGACGCATGGACGGACGGAAGCAAGAATGTATGGACGGACGAATGCTTCGCCCCACTCTTCATCATTCACTCCGTGGATATGCTGACATTTTTTTCTTTACCAGAACCACAGGTGATGACCAAGCGCTTTGACAAGGCTGTATGACTCCACGTATAAGAATGTCATCTACTTGCTCCGTAATGACGTGGCGCTCTTCGGCGGAAACGCGGTAAGAACGCTGTGGCAGAGGCGATTGTGAGCCGCTGTTAATAGTATGAATGATAGTCGTGGTGCAGCCCAAAGCAGGTTCTTGAAAGTCGAAAGAAGAGCGAAACTTGTTAAGGAGAGCAACAAGTTGGTGGCGATGCGAGGGGGGGGGGGGAGGTCTGCGTCAATAGCTTTGTCGAAGGCTGATGAACTTCGTGGCTCAGACGCATGAGTGATTGTGGCAATGTGACATGGGGTTTCGTCGGGAAGAATAATATTGTTGCGCACATGCACGAAGACAAAGAAACGTACACGGTGAACGCACTTGTCGCCCGGAGCAAGAAACGAAGAAGAGGATCAGGAGGATCTCTAACCAGTCGGCCGCTTCTGAGCTGCCTCTCACGACCTAATAAACGGCCCCTTCCAACCTCTCTCGGTCTCTTTCAAACGTAACAGAGTGGTGGAGGCGCTGGGTAAGCGCTTCAACTACAAAACAATCACTGCCACAGATTCTACAAAGCCGTTGACTTGCTGGTCTCCCATTATCTGCCGTGAGTGACTTCGACATGCCCAAAAAAGCAGGCGTTTCCAGGATGGCACCGTCTGGTCCGCTTCCGTACTACCGAGTTCCACCGCCCTTCGGAGGAAAAGCCGAAGAAGATGTCGACGCCTGGCTCACCAAGTACAAACGTGTGGGCAAGTCCAACGATTGGGATGCAGCCGCTATGCTAGACAACGTAGTGTTCTCCCTGACCGACACCACACTGGTATGGTACGAGAACCACGAGGACGCACTTACGACGTGGTATCTTTTTGTTGAAAAGCTCAGGGCGTGTTTCGGCGACTCGGTTGCTAAAAAGAAGCGGGCTGAGAAAACACTGTCGCAACGGTCACAGCTACCAGGTGAGACATGCACCACTTACATAGAAGAAGTGTTAAGGCTGTGCAAGGTGGTCTGTGCTACCATGTCGGAAGAGGACAAAGTTGGGCATCTGCTCAAAGGAATTGCTGAGGACGTGTATAATTTTCTAATTGGAAAAGAAAGCCTCAGTTCTGTGTCCGACGTCATTCGGCATTGCCGAACGTTTGAAACGCTCAAGATGCGTCGAATTGCGCCCAAGTTTGGTCGGCTGGCTAACGTTACAACTGTTGCCAGTGTGGACACGAATCCTGGCCTCGACCTCTTTACTACCATTCGACAGATTGTTCGTGAGGAACTGTCCTACCGAGAAATGTCGTGTTC